TAAGCTGTTATTTTACTTGAATTAGTTAGGTTACCAGGGCAGGATCTGTCTATAGCAATGGCAAAAATCTAGAGGACAGGAAAAATATGAGACCTTTTAAGGTTTAACTTGTAAGTATATCACTCCTACGTGTGTTCATGTTTAATTGGTCAAAGTCAGTCTCATGGCTGAGTGGTGTGTCAATGGGTTGGGAGGTATACTTTGTTTTTAATGTTGCAATACAAAAAGTATTAATGCAAAAAAAAGTGTGCTTGTTCCACACAGTTTAACCACTAGGGAAGGATTTCTCCCTTACATGCATTCTTTAAAACCATTGGCTTTCTGATCTCAATTGTACACTGCTTGTGCTCTCTTATGGTTTTTTTCTCTTGCTTTCCAAATGTTGACATTTTATAACATTTCTGATTAAATACAAAGTTTAATTTTACTACTCATTCTATACAATTTTCTTTTTGAGAGTTTGATCTACTTATGCAAATTCATTACTTGTATTCATTCTAAATGCTTAAATCTCAATTTGTAGATGTCTTACTTGAACTTCAGACTCAATTTCTAATTCAACACTAGGTTTATCAACTTAAACAGATATTAAAACTCCAGTCTCTGTATGTCCACAGTGAAATTAATGACAGACATTGTAATTATCAAGAATGTTACTTCTATTCTCTTTAAATATTAATGATGACATTTTGTACTGAGATATGCAAGTTTAAATTGTAGAAAACAAACTAAACAACTTTCCTTTTCAGTACCCCAAACCTTAATCGTCACTAAATCCTGTTGAGTCTATCAAATCCCTTTTCTAATATTTCTGCAGGTCTTGTTCTAATTTATCTGACAAATTTTCTTATAGCGATTGTCATCAAGGTATTGTGCTAAGCCATGTTAAATACTCAGAAATAACTTGTCTTATATAGGATATAAATATTAATATATTGATAAGTACTAAATGGTGTCAAGAGAATGGAGTGATAAGTTTTAGAAGGTGACTTTATGAATAAATTGCTGTTTTATTATCCAGCTTGTGTCTTATATCATACAAGAGGAATAGTGTGTAGATATAGAAGGAAGACAAGATAGCAGAGAAAAGACATACTCAGCAATAAGTTAATGAGCATAATCACAAAATAAAATTGCTGTATTTAAATGTTAAATCTCAGCAAATCTGAATGTAGATAGTTTGTGGCCTTCCTCCAATTCTATGGGCTCAATTATTAGAACCTAGAAGGCTGGCATATCTTCTTCTTCATTTCTGAGGAGACAGGCATAATTTATTGGGAGTGTCAGTCAGAGTCAAACAGAGTCAGACAGAGCCAAAGTCTCCTAGTGATAGTGGTGGTAGTGAGTAGTTTTCTTTAGTAGTAGAATCAATGCATGTGAACGATAGAACTACACATCTGAGTATATTGTTTATATTGTAATTACCGTCATGCTCTGTTTTCCTAATTTGCTTAGTCAGTTTTTACCCTTTCTGCTGGTTTCATGAGCTGTCCAAAATATTTCCAATGTGCTGTTTTCTTCTGCTTCAGCTAGATGCAGTGTGCTTTTTACCAGCTGCCTGCCTTTGGCCAAGTTCTGTAGACGCAGACACTAATACGAGAGATTCTGCGTGACAGATCCATTAGAGATGAGACCTCAAGATTTAGGAATGTAGGAGGCAAAAAAGGAGCAGTCAGGGGCATAATTTCAGGCAGATTCCTGTGGGGGGTTAGACTAGCCTGTTCTGTGAGAGGAGATGGGAACTGTGAGCTACACTTTGGAGTTTGTCATTTTTAAGGTAATGGTGTCAAGTTTCTTTAGTCTGTCAAAGTCAGTTATCAGAAAACGTCCACCTCAGGGTGTGTAAATCCCAAGGTATTTCTGTCCGTATATGTAAGCAAAACAGCTCCTGCACTTTAATAGCAGTATCAGGGAGCGGTGTTGGTAGTAGGTACAGAGCAAAACACAAACTGCAGAGTCAGGAGGAAACCACACACAGAGAGATTTCTCTATGGAGCTATGATGTTTTCTATCAAGTACAACTGGTTAAAAATCATGAGGGCTTACATAATTTATTTCCGTGGAAATGTAATTGTTTAACTGTTCAACTTGGGAGGAGATGCAATGAAACTCTGTTCATGTCAGAGAATTGAGGGGCTTGGGATTTAGCTCAGCAGTATAAGCACCTGCCTGGCAAGAGCAACATCATGAGTTAGATCGCTGGTATCCACAAAAAAAAAAAAAAAAAAAAAAAAAAAAAAAAAAAAAAAATCAGAGAATTTGTCACACAGAAGACAAACAGCATTCATTTGCAGGTGGCAAAGAATAATTGTTAAATATGTGCTGCATGAAGCCCAAATGTCTTGCTTCTGTCACTTTGTAGAAAAAGACCTATAGTAAATCATATGACCATATCTATGTTCTTTCATAACTAGCATTAGTTAATCCTTGTACTTACACCAAAGGGGTTTTTTTTGCACTTGAATCAATTAATATTTCCATAAAATTCAGGACAATACCTGGCTTGTGGTAAACAATAGAAAGTTGTTAAATAAATGCTGTTGTAAATAGCCAATTTGATTGTCCTCTGGAATTTCCTAACAATTTCTCTGCAATGGAATAATTCAAATGACATTGATTTAAGACAAATCATTGGAATGCTGGAATTAAAGATGTTGACCATATAGAAATTTATTCTGTTTTGATCTCCAGCATTAAACTCATTATACTTATTTGTTTTGTTGTTATTGAAGGGAGGGGCTTCATTGTGTGAGTCTTGAAGGGAAGAAGAACCTGGTCTTCCTAGGATTTTGATTTTAGAAAGAGTGACTTACACTACTGGGATAGGTAACAAACATTCATGGAGATAGTAGTAATTGGAAGCGACCACGATTTTAGAATGCCTTGGCTATACTTTTTGGCATCCGATTTCCCTGATTGTGCTTATTTTCCAAGCCTGGTCCTCTAGATTCTGCAACTGATCTGTGATTTGCCAAAGATTTTTCAAATGAATTCCTTTTGTATTTTAGTTAGCTAGCCTTGATTCCACTGCTGTTACCAAGAACATATAGTCAACAAGCCTCCACCTGGAGAACTATGCTCAGGGGGAAGCAATAGGCGATGAAATACAGATGCAGCTTTAAAGTCTTCATTCATTGTTGAAGCTGAGTCTTGAATTTCTATGTTCCAAGTAAGCTATCGGCTTCTTATCTGAGTTCCTTCATACTAGCAACATTTCTATTGCTTGCACCCTCAAATGGACAGATACAGATTTATTCATCTTTCTACGAAATGCACTATCCAATTTTTTAATCATCAGAATCTTTGCAGTACCCAATTCTTTAAACATCTGATTCTTTTTCTAATTTTCTGTTTTAATTTTTAAGTACTAGCAATTAAACAGGGCCTTTGCTCTGACATTTATCCTCAGCCTTTTGTTTTTTATTCATTTTTTGAGAAATGGTCTCACTTAGAACAGGCTAGGCTTGCAGTTTTCCTGCGTCAGAGTCAGCGCTCTGGGATCGCAGGTGCTCACCATCACACCTGGCTCAGGTTAATTTTCATAGTTTCAGAATTTTAGCCTTTACAGGTGCCAACGATCCACACTATCCTGGGTAGTGTATGTATTAAATTCAGGGTTTTTTGGGGGGCAGGCTCATTACAAAAATGTTAGTAGAGTATTAACTCGAAGTGGCTTTTCCTCCTAGTCATTTGATTTTCTTAACATAATACTTCTTTATTTTAAAGAGAAAAAAAAAGATAAAAATAACAATGAAGCAAAATTTCAGAAGAACTTAGTAGGACAGTTATGATAATTACTAAATTGCTAATTGTTGTCTTCATATAGTTATTCACAGTATAAAATATACTGTACTTTGAATAATTTGCACTTTGGATCATGAATTTTGGAGCAAAATCGCATGGATTTAAAAGTAGATCTATGATTTATTGCTTTGGTAATTTCATGAAGCCCCTGTTATTGAATTAAAAAAAAATATAAGTTTAAATTCTCTGTAGTGTAATTAGGGAGTTTGATTGAATTATATGGAACATACAGGCCTCATAGTAAAGACAGAAGGGACAGTAATTATTATTACTTGCCAGCTAATATACAATATTTAAAAATACCCATTTTTAGTGACTAATTTCACAAAATGTGTTCTTGTATACTAATATGCAAATCTTGTTAATTTGCTATTTATTTTATTTTTAGGGTCTACTATATCTTCAGTAAACCTATTATATATTTCATACATCTGTACATGTATATATCTAATTTTTATCCTGCACACAAGGACTGTAATATAATTATTAGCATTTAGAAAGAAGGTTATATGAATTATAATTAAAATCATATAGTATTTTTTTATTTTGCATACATAAATCTGAGATCTCTTTTAAAATGCTCAGATATGTTTGTACTGTTAATTTCTGGGAAATAATTACACAAATGTTTCTTAAAATCAAGCAGTTATAACTCATATTTAAAAAATTAAGACTTAGAATTATAAATTTAACAAAAATTCTACTATATTTTCAAAAAATTTTGATGTGTTCTATTTTATAATGCTGAATATAAGATTAACAATGTAATGCGATATAAAGAAGAAACTGACTGAGTCTGTATTATATGGAACAAGATGGATAACCCCACATGGAATAAACTAAATACTTTATCCAGTTGCAAGAAAGTGTATAGATAAACTTCAAAGTCAAAATTTACACTATTTTCCCCTTCCAGCTGTCAGTAGCATTTTGAAAATACACTGAATGCATTTTATCCACAAAGAAACAAAGATCCTTGAGAAGAAAATATTTTTATCTTACTATTTTGTCTCAGCTGTGGGGTAAAGAAATACAGAAATGTTCTGGACATGTTATTCTCAGCCCAAAACATGTTTTGACATTCTAGTGATTGAACCCTAGTGCTTCACACTGAGCTACATTTCCAGCCCACTTTTATATTTAACTTTGAGAGAGCATGTTAAGTCACTGTACTGCCCATGAGGGTTCAAACTCACAGTCCTCCCGGCTTAGCCTCTTTGGAGTGGTGGGATTCCAAGTGTTCATCATTGCTCCCAGCTACAAGCCTACAATTATAAAATATGAAACAAGGAGAAGCTCTTCAGCATTTTGGACCACATATAATGTTTATAAATGCATTCTTTATCTAAAAATTGAAGAAGCATTAGTCTGCATGTATTAAGACGACATCATAATATGAACACGACTTTCCATTTATTCTTAGCAATAGTGATAGGTTAAACTGTATCATAATCAAACTCAGTTTAATTATTTATTGGTAAATACAGTTTCTCAGATAAGTGGAGAAAATGTAGTGCATTTATTAGATTACATATGTGTAGTAGATTACATATGTGTTTACTATACATTAGACAGAATACATCAGCTCATAGTTCACAGAATTTAAAATAATTTTAGGTGAAATGTAAAAATGTCAAATAATCAATGTACACTAATAAATTTTGCATTAAAGAAGACCTTGTCTAATAAGGTATAATAAACAAAAGTTGTAGATTAATATAAATAACAAAAGAGACAAAGCAAAAGAAAAAAATAATAATCATTATGACTACATAAAAATTTAAAAAATACTTTAAAAAACCTAAGTGATGTTATAATACAGATGACTGAAAAAATATACATAAAGTTATGTGAAAATTGTTACATTATGAAGAACAGTTAGGACAGATAAAAAACGAAATGATATAAATAGAAAATTTGCAAATAAAACCAGAAATGGCTAATAAATCTCACTAATAATTAAAGATAAAAAATTATTACAAATGAGTTGGCAATTTTTTTACACATTAAAATAGAAAAATTCAAAATTAAATGTTAAAAAGAACTAAAAAAATTCTAAAATGTATATTTGTTGGTGGGCAAGATGAACAAACAATATAGTAGTATTTCTGTTAGTGTTCACTAGAGATACAGAGTTAACATATGATACACAAATGTATAGGGATTTATCAGTTTGGTTTGTAGTGGCCATCCAGAGTCAGGTATGGAGGAGTGGTAAAGGGCTTTCTGCGTGCTAGAGACATAAAGGACCCAATAGAAAGTCTCACATAAGTTTGTATCCAAAGACCAAATTATCTGGGGTAGAAGGCTGTGGGATCTGCTCTGGAAGCAGGGAAACAATGTTCAAGTTGAAAGTGAATTCTGGAGCTCCTCCAGAGAAACAGAAGCGAGTCAACTTTCTTTATTTCCTTTTTGTCCCATCCAAGCTACCATCTATTAGATAGTGCCACTCACATCCAGGGTGGGTCTCCTGTTTTCAGCATATTCATGTGGCCAAACCCACAACTACGCTTATCCAATTAGTTGAATGATTTTTATTCGCGAGAACAGGATAAGTTAACTGTCACAAATCATGTATCTCCTAACACCAAAAGTGCATGTATTTTATGATGCAGCAACTCTGTATCTCAGTATTTACCTAAAAAACTACTTACTAGGATGCTCACTGCAGTAGTTTACACAAGAATGAATTTCAAAACAAAAAGGAATTGCTTATCACTCTCTGATGTCTAAATAATTTACCCATTCTATAGATTGCAATGAACAAATTAAGAAGATCCTTATGTAACAACAAAGATGAATATTCAAAGCACATGTTTTGAGAAAAATAAATGAATAGTGGATTTAATATACATGGTATATACATATAGAATGATGACTTATAAAAGACAAACAAAATAAAATTATTGCTATGAGTCCAATAATATAAAATATTTTTGTAGAGAAATCAGAGGTGTGCATGAGTATGCAAAAATGTGTTGTGTGTACGTGTGCATCTGAAAGTAAGAACTTACATTATTTGCAAAAATTTATTTGCACTATTTCCATGAAAATAATTATATACTGTGTTAAATATGCTTTACACAAACTCAGAACAATAATTTTCTTCAAAAAGTAGAGATTAAGATTAAATTAGCCACAGTTATAATCATAACTGCAGATACACAATAGTGGTTGCTCTTTTTATGGCCATTCTTTTCACCAGCATCTAAAAAGCGAGTAGCTCTTTAAATTTCATTTCTTTTGGATATTTGTAGTTTGTGAAATAAATATAATAGTGATCATCACTGAGAAAATGGATTTAGGGTATACTCCCGTGTCTTTCATTAACACACTTGGTGTTGACTCTATTTGTCTAAGACTAGAAACCTAATAAATGCAAAATTTTGTGGTAGGGAAAATAGTTAATTGGCCCGTTGAATTAGAATCATTTTCAGTATTGGTTGTAATATATATTTGTATATTATAAATAATTATCAATACAAAAATATTGATAATCACAGGTGACTGCAGTACAGTTTGAAGTTCTGATCCATTATTTGTTCAGTGAATTAGCTCTCAATCTGAATGGCATGCAGAATTATAGCTGATTTTAAAAATGCCAATGCCAAGAAGTCTTTCCCATTGTCCTGTTAATCTGACTGGTACAAAGTAACAAGGTATGAAAAGGGTAAAGAATTGTGGCTTTTTGAAAAATCTGGGCTGCATTTTGAACAGAGTGTATCTTTATTAACCTACTTTAAAGATTTCCCTTAATGAGAGAACTTTAATTACTTGTATAGGCTACAACTCTATACTTTCAGTTTATTATTCTTGAGTCATTATTAAAATCAGTATGACTTAATTCCACAAGAACTATTACTCAGAATCACTGAATAACAACATATTGTATAAAAATGCATTTCAAAATTTTAAATTCAGATAAAACATTAAAATTATATTATTATTTAGTGTATATATTCACAAAATTATGTATGTATGTTACTAAAAGTTATTTAAAAAATTTTATTTTCTTATATAGAAATAAGATTATTTCATAATCACAAATCCTAAACATCTTAACATGCAAATATTTTTATCAGTTGGCTTATAATTATTTTAATTGAATCAATTACATGCCTTTGCACAAATGATTATGAGGTGTAATACATGTATTACAGAAAATGAACTTCAAGGTAATAACTATAGTAGAAATATTAAGTTGGAATATTTTACTGCCTTTTTAAGTATAGCAATATACTATAAGCACAAAGTGGCTAATTCCATCATTATTATTCCTGATTAAAATATAAACAGCTATAACCAATAAAAAAGTACTTAACATTTCAAATATTTGTTCTTATTGTTTTTAAAGGGTGGCAGCAATAGAAGTGAAATTATAGAACAGAATGCTGATTTGATTTTAAGAAACACTTATGATTGTTCTGTGATGCTGAAATAATTATCTGAATTAATGCATCTGATCTAATCATATAATTTGAACTTTCACTGGTGATATTTTTTGGAAGCCCTGTGAGTCTTATCATCAATTTGTGCTCTTTATCACAAGTAGATCTTATATCTAAAGCACAAAACTCAGAAATGTTTTTGTGTATGTAGAACTCTATTAGAGTTCACTGCAGAATCAGATTTAGTACACACACATATGATTCACAACTCATTTCCAAGACGAGGATACAGTGCTGGACTGCATAGTCAGGAGCAAAAGAATGCGAAAGAGTTGTCTTCACCTTGGGGAGCCAGAGGGCCCAAAGTTTGAAGATCTGGACTTCACTGTAAGGTTCCATGTGAGCATCTATGTTGGATGCCTGGAGATGGATATCCAAAGCTGATGGTGAAGACTGGAGCTCCATGCTCAAAGCAGGAGCCCAACTTCTTTCCCTTTATCCATCCCTGACTCGAGCCTATTGGTTGGTATCACCACTTAGAGTGCTCTCCGACCTTCAGTAAGTCAGTCATCCAGACACATCAGCTGTGCCACACCCATCTGCTAGGTGTCTCTTATTCAAGTTGACACCACAATTAGCTATCACAAAACCTTTCTATTACAAAATAAAGCCCTAAGTGTTCTGCAATACAAAAATGACAAATACTGTATCAACATTCTAATATCTAGAACCTTTGAATATGTTATGTCACATGTCAAAAGTTGTTTTTCTGATATGACTTTGTAACCTGCCCTGGAATAGCAAACTCTACTAACCTTTTTTTTTTTTTTTTTTTTTTTTTTTTGTCTGTTTGAGACAGGGTCTTGCTATGCAGTTCAGGCTAGCCTTGAAATCACTTTGCAGCCCATGCTGGTCTCGAACTCATGTGATCCTTCTGCCTCAGCCTCCTGCGTGCTGGGATTACAGACATGTGCCACCATGCCTAGCTTAATAGCAAATTTTAAAAATTAGACTTTTTTTTCCAACAGAGAAATGGCTTCTCTAAACATTTTTAATCCCAAGTCACATGCCTCCACCTCTGCCTTTCCTCACCTAAAATAAGTGGACAGAATATGCAGAAAGTTAAGTCTAGTTTTCTATCCTTAGGCAATGGAGGGGAGATCTGCATCCGAAAGTGGGAAAACAAGCCTGCACAGAGACGGTCTCACTTCTCTAACAGTGCCGTCCTGTGAAAGACCCTGACACACCTGTATGTGGTAAGATGGTGAGAGAAGGTGATTGAGCTCCTCCTCAGAGCAGCTGTGACTAAATCTTTTTTCCCTTTTACCAAAATAAATAGCTTTCTCTGACCTGTGAACAAAGGAACTATGAGGAAAGGAACCTGATCTTACCCAGCAAAGTGGTGATTAACACACGGGAAGACTGTCTTGAACTATCGGTGTAGACCCAGAGTAACCACACAGGTTCCAGAAACAAGGAGGGAAAGAGTTCAAAGTGAGAGGGAAAAGATGCTGATGGAAGGCGGAAGCTTGATTCCAGCTTTAAAGATGGGAGAGAAGGGAAAAGTCAAGAGATGTAGCTAGTCTTTAGAAGCTGGCGAAGACAAGGAAAAAAATTCCACTGGAATCTCAAAGAATTCAGCATTAGTAACACTCTGATTCCAGCCTTAAAATACTCATTTCAGAATTGCAAACTTTATTTAACATTAAGAGAATATTTTTTTGTTTCATGACATTGATTTTCTTGTAGTTTATTAAAGCAATTATAAGAAAACTAATACAGCTTTCTACATATATTAGGCAGATTGCCAAATGGAGAGGGGATTAGAGCAAGGGGAGTATAGAGGGCCTTAGGAATAAAAATGATCAAAGAAGATACATATATCAGTTCCCCAAAATGAAGGTAACTACTGTGTATCACAAACATATACTAATAGAAATAAATGAAACAAGTTATCCCACCCAATAGCAAAGCTGTATAGTTTCTCCTAATTATTTGTTAACATAATTGATTCGATTTAGGTGAGTTGCCTATATTGAAATTGCATCATAGTTGACTTACTGATTAAAAGTAGAAGACTTATGGTGCCTAAATTGTGATTCATAACTCATTTATTCCATTATAGATTAATCTAATATTATCAATAATTTGATAAAAGGGTGAAAATACTGTCTTTAAGTTCTTCGAAATCAGTACAATGTGTTATATATTTTGCATGATTAAAGTCTATTATGCATGTGATTTTACCTATCATTTAAGAGCTTATTATTTTTAGTGTAATTGCATAGTATCCATAAATATCATCTAAAATTCATGCATAATATATGTTAGAATGGATATAATGATTTTTCTTCTGTTGAATCTTTAAAATATTGCCATATTTTAATCATTAATATTAATGTCAAAAGATATTCTAGTACATATTTATTTATATTTGGTTTATATATAAAATGATGATTTAGACTTTTAAGAGTTTTTTTAAATATAAACTTTTGGATAAAAAAGTAATAATTATAATAACTAAGATAATACTTCTGATAATGCTATGAGATATGATTTATGTATAAAATTATTTTATTATAAAATTGTAATTGCTTTCTCAAACATACATTAAATATAGTTAATCTGAAACAGAATGTACTGGACAAGATACAAAATTCTAGATACAAATTGCATAGCAAAAACAGTATGTCCTTTACTATTCAGCAATATTTGAGCTATAGCAGAATATGTGATAACCATAATTAAGCATAATTTATATTTTGATACTTCAATCATACTTCAAATATATTTTTACCCTTAAATCATTCTTATTTGCTTATAAGTTTGAAATTGGTTAAAACCTATTCACTTGTCTTTGAAGGCTTGATTGTTACTATAACATTTGTGTGCACTTTGTGTATATAGTAACTTCCATGTAATTAATATATATTTTCCTATTAGCTCTATTATCTGTTAAGTAATTGTAATTATACTCTTTAATTAGGTAAGGAAATTTAAAATAAGTATCAAATAACTTTCTCAAGGTCATATAGTGACTAAGTAGCAAACAGAAATGCAAATCCAAGTGTCCAACTCCAAATCCATGTGGTATATATGTGACTCTATTCCATCAGTAGTTAAAATGACTTTATATACTTTTTTCCTACTGACTTTTTCTGATTTTGCTTTCCTGATCTAATCTTTATGTAAAAGTACTGTCTGTGACATACACAAAACTACATCATATTCCAAATCTGTAATCATCAAGTTAACTTCATTTGTTTTAAGGCTTGTTTCTAACCAACTGATTCAATACATTTAGAAGTTGATGATGGTAAATGTGTATGCTACTTACTCATGAACATCAGGGTTACATATAGAGTGTGATAGCTTCTGACAGCTTTTAACTTTCACCCAATCAAGGATATTGCTGAGAATACATAGGATTTCAGAAAACCCAAAAGGAGTAGCTTGGTGTGCTGATTGGACAAGTGAAGTGGAAAAGGAGCTCTGGGAGGAGAGAATTGCATCTGATCTTCAATGCACTTGGAAAGCCCTACAAAGTCTCAAGTATATGGAAAAAGAAATTAACAAGTAAAAAATTAGACTATAGAATATGAACCACAGAGACATGACTAATAAGTCAATAAAAGATAATTTATTAATGGGTGTAAAATTTGGCAATGAACTATACATGAGAAATAAGATGCTGTATATAAGTAAGACAGGGTTGTTGTGGGGGAGTGTTATTTAATTAGTTTCATGGCTGGTAATTTTGAAGCTTTTGAAGAATGGAAGGTTTTAGAGCAAATTTTCTCATCAATACCAATGTGAGTTAACACATTGTTTAACCACCTTTCAAGCCAGAGTTGGGGAGAGGATTCCAGTAAATGACTATAATGTCAATTTTTGAAGCATAATAATAAAAAGATCTAAAGATTCTAGTAGCCTACATATAGTATTATATGACTTTGTTTCTCTTTAGGCATTCAAAGTTAAACAACACTAATTACTGTGAGACAGCAAGCAATGGAACCAATAAGCTTGCTAGCTTCACAATGCTAAGTTGGTGAGAACACAGCTGCTCACTGATGAGCTGGGACTTGGAATGCTCAGTGTGAACCCACAGCTTCCCATGTGTTAGTAGTCTGCTTCCAGGGCGAATTACCTTAATGTACTTTTTCTGAGTTATATTTATTTCACTTTTCTCTTGCTCTCTTGCTTGGTTCTGATTAAATGTGATCAGCAGTCCATCAGTCATTTTGAGGAAAGTCAGCTGTCATGTTATGAGAACACAAAGCGAAGTAGAAGACACAGAGCAAGAAGTAGTGATCCCTGGGCAACAGGTGTCGAGAAACCGAGACCAACCAATAACTTCGGGTGAAAAACTGTGAAGGTGGTCTCTCAGCCCCAGTCGAAAGTATATATCAGTAGTGTGCTGGTAACTTTGTAAGAGAACACAGTAATACTGTTTAAAGATCTTTGACCCATAAAACTATAATAAAATTTAATGTTTAAATGACTATGTTAGGGTAATTTGTTACATAACTGTAGATAACTAAGGTATTTACTGTCATTGCTTCCTCTGCTACTTGAAAGTTGACAATAGTAATCTACACTAGAGGATTTAAACAGTGTGAACTTGTAAGATAAAGGAGGAGGAGTTTTATAGTCAATACTGACACATTACCTACTTTTGTGATCTATATTAAGTGTTTTTTTTAATTTTTAAAGAGAAAAAAGATAAATATAATAAGGAAACAGAGATTTAAAAAGGTTATTAGGGTAGTTACAATAGTTGATACATTGTGTATTGTTGTATTTGTAGCAGTTATTCAGAGTACAGAACAAAAACATGACCTATAGTCTAAACAATATTAATGCAAATTTTGATACCTAGTCTAAAAATATTAGCACAAAACTTTCTTTTCATTGAACTAAGAGACTATCTGTATAAGTACTTTAACTATCTTGTATATACATGTACATATCTTTCTTTATCCCTTATTTCCTTTCTCCTTTCCCCCAGCATACTTTGTCTTTTCTTTTGAATAATTTCTTCCTTACTCACAATATGTATTATATATTTTGAATCTTCTTTGCTTGCTCAGTTTCTCACACTAGTGAGAAATTTGATGCTTGCACATATGAGTTATATTTATTTCATTTTGAGTATTGTCTCAAGTTGTATCCATTTACGTATGAGTCTTCATTTATTCTTCTTTATGGCTCACTAGTACTTTATTATATATATGTATATATATGCATATATATATATATATAACACATCCTTATTATCCATTCTTCAGTTTATGAGCATTTGGGTTGGGCAACAAGGACAAGGTAAAGGACATCACAATCCAAGACCTGAAATTATACTACAGAGCTACTGTGATAAAATCAGCATAGTACTGGCAAAAAACAAACATCAATTAAAAAAGAAAAAAAAAAAAACCCTGATGATCTGTGAAACAGAACAGAAGATGAAGACACAACCCCAAAACACTCAGCCACCTTATCTTTGACAAAGGAGCCAAACATGTTCACTGGAAGAAATTTTCTCTATTAAAAGGT